GGCCTGGGGTGGTCTCTTGACCTTTCTCTCACTCTTCTGCTTTTTGGAGAATCTTCAAATCCAAAGAAAAGTTGAAAGAACCCAACAATCACTCTTCACTAACATGGTGCCCCCTTTGCTTTATCTCTGTGTACATAAGCCTTTTTTGGCTGACCTACTTGCTAATTAGTGTAGATATCGTGATACTTCACCCCTGAATACAGCACCATTGTGTCTCTTATTGTGTATAATCACAATACAATGACTACTCCTAAGAAAATTAATGCAAATTTAGTATCATCTATTATCTAGTTCATGTTTAAATTTCTCTGGTTATTTCAGAAGTATCTTTTATTGCTGTATTTTTTATTGTGCTATTTTACAATCCAGAAAAAGAGCTGTGTTTGTTTTTTCTTTTCTTTAACTCTCTTTCAGTGTTGAACAACCCCTCTGCCTTTTACCCTTATGGCTTGTTGACTGAGAAGTCCCTCAGCCTGTTGTCTTATACAGTGTCCCATTTTCTAGATTTGTCTGATTGTTTCCTCTGGAGTAGATTCAGATTGAAGTTTTTGGTTGGGAATATCACGAAACGATATTGTGTATCTTTCGTCGTATGGCGTCACTGTTGGTGATGCTTCCTTTGCTTGGTTAAGGGAGTGACCACTAGATTTCTGCATTTGTAGAGATTAGAATTTTCCCCTCTGAGATGCGTGAATAATATGAGGGGTGGCACTTTGACACTGTGTGAATATTCTGACCCCCAACAGTTCCTCACCTAATGATTTTATATCTATTCATGATCCTGCTTGAAGCAGTCATTGCCATTGGTGATTACAAAATATTGACTTTCTAATTCCAGCATTTCTTCTATATTTAATAGCTGACATTCATCTGGAAGAAAGACTTTTTATTCTATGTCTTTCTTCTTCTCCTATTTGTTGAAGATTATTGCTGTGGCTTTTAATGCATTTTTATCCATTACCATCATGATCCTTTCTGATGCTCAATTGTCTCAAATTTGGCCAGTGCAAGTCACTTCTTGGTGGCTCCTGTGCCCTTTTGACAGAACCCCATTCATCTTTGAGCACATGCTGGACTTCTGACACAACACAATACCTCAGGCTCACCTTGTCCTGCTCCCAAGGGCAGCACAAGGGTCTAATTTTCCCAAGGGTCCCTGTTTGTCTCTCTCTCTTTCTCTCATTTTATTTTAATTTTTGCTATGGAATAATTTTTAGAAACCAAGATTGGGGCACCATGTGTACTACTGAGGTGACATTGCTTCTACGGCCTTTCAATGGACAGTCAGGAAATATGTATTTTAATTACAAATTCAATATCATAAGATTTTTCCTAAGCTTTCCCCATTCCATATGTCTAGATTGCCTTCTCCACAGTACAAACCCAGCTTTCAACCACATAATATTTTTACTCATTTTCTCTATTCTATAATGCACACAAAATACTTCCAGAAATTAGAGCACTGTACAGCTATAGACCTGCTCAATAAACTTGCACATTTCTTTGCAGTGGCTTTTGCCCTTAGAATTTAGCCCTCTAAGCGTTTACAGCTAGCATATTGTATTCAAATGGAATTAATTATATTCTCTGTGTGGTTATGCTATCAACTGGATAGTCAGAAACACTTGTTTTAGTGTGTATCTATTTTACTGTTTCCTGTTATAATCTTTTTACATTTTAACTTATATAGTTTTGTTTACTCCACTTATCTCTGAGTCTCATGTTATGTACACGATTCAGAGATAAACTGTGTGAAAAGATAAACTCAGAGAAATCTTTCCCCTGTAAGTGTCCACTCCACCCTGTTCCTACCTACTGCTTTGAAGTTGCTATTTTCAATAGTTTCTAGTTTGTTTTTAATGTGTTACTTTTAAAGAAATATATTTAATGAAAAATAATTTTATATAGAAAATATGTATGCACACATATATACATCTATATGTAAACATTTTCTAATTTTATTTTAAAATTTTAAATTTAAAATGTAAACATTTTCTAATTTTATTTTAATTTAAAATTAGAAAATGTTTATGTATATATGTGCCTATATATTTTCTCCAGCACTTGGATGGTTTTATTGTTTACTTAGATGTCTGATCCATTTGGCATTTATTCTGGTGTGTGGTACGAGTTACAGATCCAATTTTGTCTTTTTCCCAAATCGCAACTGAATTATTCTGATACTATTTTTTAAAATCACCCTATTTCCCCAGCGTTTCATTTGCCACTTTTATAATGTTCTAAATTACTATATGTACTGGGATATTTCTAGACTTTATTTTCCACTGGTATTTGTGGTTATTGATATGCTGGTGCCACACTCTTACCTAGAGAGGCTTCCTAGTGTGTTCTACCTTCTGGTAGAGCTGGTTTCCTCCATCCGCACACACCTTGTGCTTCCTTTGCAGGGGACATTCTTGCGATTCTATTCCAGCTATTCTTGAATCAACTACAGACTCTTTCTACAGAAACAAAAGTCTTTCATGGGATGGGGGCTGGAGGGGAGGTCCCAGTGGAGAGTTTTATGACTGCTTTGTTTTTTTGGTTATTGGGTTTTTGTATAGACCAAAGTAAAGAAAAGAAAAATAACACACAGAAAAAAAAAAGAAGCAAACATCTCGATATTTAAATTGGGGTTACATTACATTTATATATTGAGTGAAAGATTATTTACTTCTTCACAATGGTAAGTGGCTCTCCATGGAAAAAAGGTAATTTTTTCATTAAAGTTATCTGCTTTTGTATGTTGCTATTTTTGTGTCAGGAGGGTTTTCAGATTTCACTCTTATAAAGTTTTTGCATTTTTTGTTATATTTATTCCTAAGTATTTTGCGTTTGCCGCTTTCAAAATGGAGTTTTCGCCATTACATCTCCTACCTGGTCATTGATTGTATTTTGATTTTGGGTGATTATGTTAATGTTATAGTGGTTGCCTTGTTGAATGCTTTTACTATTTATCTGTTTTCTCCTTTGTCCCTTCAGTTTTCACACTACGATGTCGTCTGCCAAAATATAGATCTTCTTTCCAAATTCCTATGCCTCTAATTGTTTTCTCCTCTCTGATTGCATTGGCTAAAAACACCAATGTTAAATAATAGTGGAAAAAGTGTGCATACGACATGCCTCTGCCAGACTTTGATGGGAAATCTACTAGTGGTCCCTGAGAAGTAAGATGCTGCCTCTGGAGCTGAAGCACATATAACTTATCCTGTTAATGAGCATTCATCAGTTCCTATTTTACTGACTTTTAAAAATCAGAAATGTGTGTTTGATTTTGCCAGAGATTTTTTTTTATTATTAGCATGCATTAATATATCCTAAACAGATACACCGTGGTGCTGACCAGAATGTACAGGCACCGTCGTTACTCGTTTTACTTTTGTTTTTGTTGTTCTCCTTCTCTCCTTTTTGGTCTATGTGATTCTTGGAGGATGTGGTCAAAGATTTGGGTTTAGTAGCCACTAAATCGTATGGTATGAAACACTCTCTTGCTCTTTCTCTTTATGCCAGCCTAGGGTAACATGCAGCCTAATTCACCTATTAGTTCAGCCAGCAGATGCTACCCCAGATGCTGCTGGCCTTACCTTATTTTGGCCAGATTGTGCCTGGCTCTCTGGTGGCTGGTGATACATCCATCTGCAGAGGTATCGCTACCTGTCAGAGAACAACTTAATCCATGAGGTAGCTCAGCAGTGCCCCTTCTTCTGCTCAGGGCAGCCAGGGGTGGGCAGAGGCTGCTTTCCTGGGCTGCCTATCCACTCTGGGCATTGGTATCTCAAGTGCAAACCTGGCTAGCTTCGGCCTCTTTAGAGCCCTTCCTTATCAACACTTGAAGGGGCCTTTTAATGCAGGGCTTGTTAAAGACACTAGGAAGGATGAACCCTCTGCTCAGCCCCTGTGCCTCTAAACCCCATGTTCCTCTGGACCCTCCATCCTTTAAAGAAGAAACAAACCCCTGGCGGCATTTGAGACCTTGCTTGGAATCCGTTCCTTCACTTTTCTCACCACTTCCTCTCACCATATCTTGCTTGTTTCCAATGTCTTTCTTGTCTTTAACATTGGCTCTACTGCCGTCAAGCTCCATAGCCCTGACCTTGACCCATGTCCTTGGTTCTCAAATATAGGGTAGGCAGATATAGGCTTTCTGTTTTATGTCCTTTGACGTGGCTTGTCCCAAAGATGCTTCACTCTGTCCTGCCTTCCTGATGTTGCTGACTGGTCTCTCATGGGGAGATCTTAGCTGTCAGGAGACTGTGACTGAATATGCACAATGGAAAGTCATAAACAATTTTGCATTATTCAATGTAAGCATATATACCATTCTATTATATTCTAGATGTCTATGTGAGACTACAGTGAGGGTGTGAATTTGATTTCAAGGCATGGCGTTATAAGTGAGGCCCGTAGCAGGATCTGCATCCTACTTTCAGCGCAAGCTTTATTGTATCAGGATATGGTTTGTTGACTCAGATGTGTTGTTCTCTTCCATGTTCCTCTTTTTTAGACACTTATGCTGCCCTTCCCTTCCATCAGAGCTGGTACACCAAGTATGGAGAAGTCTCGCCGTTTGTAACAGCTTGTAGTTCAGATGTGAAGGCATTATTTTCCAGTTCCATTCTCACAGTCTGCCCACCTTATTCCTTGTAGCATTTGCCCAGGTCTGTGCAAATTCATCAACTACAGAAAGTGACGTGTTCCCCAAAATATGCCTATTCACCTCAAGGAATGACTTCTCTTTTTGTCATCAAAGTGGATGAGGTTTTGTTTGCCTCGGGTTTGGCAGGCAGAAAACAACTTCCAGGTTGAGCTCTCCCCTTTACCCAGAAGCCACAGGCCTTCATGTTCTTTTCTGTGTTGCACAAGGAAGTGTCCCACCTTGCAGGTTTTGCTGATGAGCTCTTTTATACCTGTTTAATTGTGTGAGTTGCATAAACACATGCAATAATTAGAGCATATTTGTTCTGTCAATAAGCCTTCCAGACGGTTCTCTTCCTTTCCAGAGATGCACAGGTGATTGAGCTGTAGGTGAGCAGCCGTGAGAAGAGGGGTCCAGCCCTGTGGACAAGGGCCTACAGTTACCATCTCAGGATGTTCTGCGTTTGAACACCCAAGTAATGGTAATAGACTTTCACATGGACTGAATATTGGAGGAAAATAATAGAAGGAATAGAATCTACAGCGCCTTCGTCCTGAAGGAAAATATCATTCCTCTTCTGCAAGAAGTGGACTACACAAAGGGAGGCTTGAGCACTTTCGCCTGCAGTAGGAAAAGATGGACACCTCAAACTTCACCCTGTGTTAGAGCTGTTCATGCTTCTGCAAGGGCATGGTGTCCATGTTCATGGAACCTACCACAGATAATGGCTCATGAAAAAGGGAATGGGACCCAACATATAGCTTCCTACACACTGCCATCTTATTAACAGTTAGGCAGTACTTTGTTGAATGATTAGCTTCACCTTCTTAGCTGCCAGGAGATCCCTTCTTAAAGATTTGGGAGCCCTGAAACATTGGGTCCCTGGGACAGTCTCCATCCCTATCGATGAATACTGGCCTCCTGGAGCAGAAATGGCAGGCTGGGTTAGCACTGGAGGAAGGCCTTTGGTGTTCATGGGATGGGCCTGCTGCTCTCAGACATTCAAAGGATGGAGCTAAGGACGGACCAAATGAGAAAGCAGATGCCGTGCCTTGTAGAGGGCCATGAATGTAAGTTATAATTTTTCTCCTTATATAATTATTTTGTGGTTATTATTAGAAAGTGCATGGCTGGTGCATAAAAGACATGACTGGTGGAGGCTCAGGAAAGCCACGTCATTCTAAAATTGCCACCAGGTTAAGGCCCCATGAGCATTTCTCTCCTTTGTAATATTAACCCTGTGTTTTGGGGGCCACATCACGGAATATTCTTTGCCTTTCCAGTTTCCAGGAACTCTGTTGGATTGGGCTGCCCTCCTTATGTGTGATGAAAGATGAGCTATATTTCAGAACAAAGTGCTGTGTTGTCATAATTTGCCTGGACTCCCAGGGCATCTCTTATCTGACTTGATAACGATGCTGTTCATTAGCAGCCTTTGTTAACTGATAACCAAGAGTGGTAATGTGATACTCATAAGCAATTTTCTGTGTGTAAGATAAAATGAACCATCTTGTATGTGATCTGCTAATTGATTTGCTTCCTTTAGCAGCATTTTAATTAAGACATCTGGTTTGTGAATGGCAGAAACACTTGTGACTGAAGGTGAATGCTCCTGGACTCTCAGCCATCATTTTACCTTCTGTACACACAGCAAAACCATGGTGTTCTCTCCCGGACCCCACCTCATGACATATTTTCCCAACACCACCACTGGACTCTGGTTTTGTTTTAGCCCCACACAAGGTTTCCCAGGTGAAGAACAGAGAGGCTTATGCTGAAGGCCAATATCCTCTCCTTGGGTCATAAAGGCTGACATCATCTGGGAGGCAGATGGGGAAGGGGCCCTGACATTGAGGTCTCTCTGGCTTACTCTGCATACCCAAGCTCAATGGCTGCCTTCTGGATGTCCTTCTAGGCCTATTAGAAGATCTCTGAAGCCCCCCTTGACAGCTCCTCTCCATAAGAGCAGCTCCTGGGGACACAGGGTCCAATGGGCAGTAGCTCTTGGAAGTGACTGAAAGGAGTCCTAACAAGTCATTGGGTCTGCTGGCGCAGCCTCTTGAGTCAGGGCCATTCCAGCATGACTGCCTCACCCTGTAGTTTGACAATATGCTAGCAGAGGCCAGAGGCTGGACTAAGCCCCATCCTCCCAGCCTTCTAAGTTCTGGGACCCCAGGACACATACAGCTTCCCCCACCACAGCCCACAACAGCATGGAGAATACCATGCCCGAAGGGAAGGGGACAAACACCAGGAGGAAGAGGCATCCTGCAGGGGTGAAGCAGGTCACAGATGGCTGCAGCCAGCCAGGATCTAATGAAGTGGCTGTGGTTTGAAGCCTCCAGGACTCCGTACGGGAAGGAGGGGAAGGTGAGATGAGAAAGGGTCATCTGGCAAGGCCAATAAATTAAAAATCATCTGTAGAAGTATCAATCTATATATCTGTACATTTAAAGTGTATTTACCTCAAATCTATACAAATTAATACATAAACATGTATATGTATGGGTGTCCTCCTCTATGTGTGTTAAAAATGTACATATCATGCAATTCTAGTAAATAAATGCAGGTTTGAGGAATTAATAAAACTTCTTTCTAAGCAGGCAGGGTTCTTAGATAGAGGGGGGCTGAGCTGAACAGAGCCTGAAAATGTAACCTTTCCATCATCAAAGTTGGGAAACAGCTGAGAGGCAGACAAGCCAGGCAGTTGGAAACAAAAATATCAGTGCTATTGTGACTCTGAAACGAGTCACGGAATGCCAGCATCCCTCTGCAGCTTCTAGAGTTCCCACAGCATCCATGCTGCAGTCCAAGCAGGAAGTGAGAATGGCTCCAGTGGAATGCTGGCAGCAAAGGGGCAGAGAGTGGGGATGGGGCGGAGGGTTGGAGATGAACCTTAGGGGAAGGGATGCCAGGACTTGCTGGTGGATCAATCTGTCAGGGAGGCAGAGGGAGTTCATAACAACCCCATGTTTGGGAGCCATTGGCTAGGATGTGGAGAGCCTTAGAGAGCTCTGCAAATGGGTCTTGGGTCTTCTAGGCTATTGTGAAGACAAGGGTGGGCTGCATTTGGAGAGAGTGAACCTCACCTCCCTACAGGTGTTCATACATGCAAATCAGGGTTAAAAGCTCACGTTAACCATTATTCTAGAACGTGCTCTTGGTTTTATGAGAGAAGATGGAGAGAACCATCTTGGAGGAGTGGTAGGCTCCTTTCCCCTTAGATGGAGCATGCAGGTGGGCTGCTTAGACACAGAAAGGCTACACTGAGCAGGCACGAAGATGCAGGCAGAAGGGGCAGTGGCCTGTAATAGGAAGTCCATACGGGGCCAAGTCCAGGCTATGACTGATTCTTTCCCTTCTAAGTCATTTGTCATAATCTCAGATTTGTCAGATTAATTAATCATCCTTCAAAGAATATGATTTTTCATGAGTACATTATCATCAGATGACAAATGAGTGGCACATCTCCCAGGCTGTGTATACAGATGCAGAGAAGCCACTCAGGCCTTGAATGTCCCAGCCCTCTTACCAGCATATCCTACACCCCAGTGTTCACGGTCCTGGAATTTTAACGAACTCATGACTGTCCCTTCATTTGCGGCCCCGCTCTGTGTGGTACAGAGCGGTGGTAGAGTACATGAGCTCTGCAACCAAATTCTGCCTTCTGAGCTGGACAAATTATTTAATGGTGCTATGCCTCAGTTTCCACATCTGTACAGCAGGCTAATGATTGTACCCACCCCATAGGATCTTTGTGAGAATTAAATGAGTAACATGTGTAAAGTTCTTAGCACAATGACAGGCAGTCAGCACTTGGTAAACATGGGCTATTACTTATCATTAGTTTGGGACAACTTTTACACAATTCCAAAATTCAGAGAAGGTGAGGTTATGGAAGTTTTTGTTTCATTCTTAATTTACATATGTACTGTATACATACAGTGGGTTTTTAAATTTTTTTTTGAGACAGGGTCTCACTGTCACCTGGCTGGAGAGTTCAGTGGCACAATCACAGCTCACTGCAGCCTTGACCTCCCCAGGCTCACGTGGTCCTCCCACTTCAACCTCCTTAGTACCACTACAGGCACGTGGTAGAATACATGAGCAGTGGTACTACATTTTGTATATTTTGTAGAAACAGGGTTTTACTGTGTTGCCTAGGCTGGTCTCGAACTCCTGGAACTCAAGGAATCCTCTCGTCCCGACCTTTCAAAGTGCCAGGATTACAGGCATGAGCCACTGTGCCCAGCCTCATTACATATTTTTAAATAAAGTTTTTATTTCAGAACAGTTCTAGACTCACCCAGCAGTTGAGAGCCTAGTTGAGAGAGTTCCTGAATGCCCCGCACCTGGCCTCCCCTGTTATTAACGTCCTTCGCTGGTATGCAACATTAGTCACAATTTAATGAGCCAATATTGATACATTAATATTGACTAAAATACACACATTATTTGGATTTCCTGTTTTTATCTAGTATCCTGTTTTCTGGTCCAAGACCCCATCCAGACCGCCACATGACATTTAGTCACCTTGTCGCCTTAGGCTCCTCTTGGTTGTGACGATCTCTGAAATTTTCCTTGTTTTTGATAACCTTGGCAGTGTTGAAGAACTCTGGTCAGGCATTTAGTTGATTAGTCCTCACTAAAGTCTATTTTTCTCATGAAGATAAATTTCTTTTAAGCTAAGTTTAACACAGAATTGATTACAATTATACAAAAACCAAGTGTTCACCAATCTTTATTATTGCTTATGAAAATAAAATTAGCCAGATAGTTGGCAAATCCCACTTAAGCTTGAACTGGGTAGGCTCAGTAAAAGGAAAAGCTTTTCTTGTGTAAATAAAGCAGAGCAGATGTTTCTAATGAGTGAGGGGCTGCTCTGGGTAGCATCACGCAATCATCATGTGCTTTACGTAGCAACACGGTCAGGGACAGCACCTGGGGCTCGTGCAAAGCAGGGTAGATTGGACACTGCTGTCTTTCCTCATCAAGAGACCAGCCGCCTGTGCTCACTCTGCAGCTAGGAGCTCCTGGTAGTATGGTCTGAGCTCTCCAGAGAGGTGGATCAGAGCTGCCCGTTATTTATCTCAGCAAAAAAGGAACCATAAGGAAGCCTTTACAATGTGGTTCTGATCTTTTTCCTGTTTCCTGAGTTTAATTCAGGAGATGGCAACAAATTGTGAGTCAAGCACAACTGCTGACTGGCAGAAAAGAAATTGAAACCAGGTCCAATAATCATCCCAAACACGTTTTTATGGGGCATTTGCAGCCATCAGCAAGGGCTCTGCTACCGACTCACTCCAAGGCGCAGCATTCTGTGGACCTCTGCCCACAGCATCCAGAGGATGGGGCTGTGGATGGCGCTCCTCTCACTTCTGTTGGCCTTCTGAGGTCTGCTCTCATTGATGGCTCCCGCTCCTCCCGTCATGCCTTGGCCTTGGTTTGTTCTGTCCGGATGGAAGTGCCACTGATGACCGTAAGAAAACAATCGGTCTCAAAAGGAAAATAAGGCACAATGGGGCGGCAGAAAGCCTTCCCAGAGGATGGTGGCAAGGATGATGTTACATCCCATGGATACTTTACCCATATAAATTATATCTGTACGCTCAGCCTAGCTTTTGTAGACACAGCTGCATGCACTCTAACAACCTGCACGACGATCAGTGTGTCCCTTCGTGAATGGAATCGTTCCTTTGGCACAGTTAAGGGTGTGGGCTCTAATCCAGCTGGCTGAGGTCTAATTCCTCCCGGCCTATTGCTTACTATCTGTGTGTGACCCCTGACAAGTGACTCAACTTCATCTTAGTTTTCTCATTTGTAATGATATTGATGGCTATAGAGGGTCACTACGACTTGCCTATTAGTTATTGCACATAAAACACTTGGAATAGTGTCCAAAATGTGTAGGTGCTCTATAAATGTTCCCTCTTCTAAAGTACTGTGTAAGACACCGTGGGAAAAAACACAGAAGGAAGAGGTATGGCCTTAGCAGAGGAAACCACAGGCAAACAGGACAAATGAGTGCTGCTTTTGAGGTGTGAACAGGGCGCTGTTGGATCCCAGGAAAAAGAGAAAATCACAGTGGCCATCCGAGTAACATCTCTGTCCAGACACAGAGGAGTTTGTTGGTCAGAAAAGCAGGCAGGGCATTTGGGGGACCTCGCGGGGTGTCTGGCACCTGGCATGCCAATGCCTGGAAGCATGAAATCACGCGGCAAGCTGGGATGGGTGAGCACATTGCTTTGAGCAGGACTGCAGCTGATCAGAAGGCGGGTCAGGAAGTCTATGGGGGCAAACAAGCTGCTAAGGTGTTCAGCCATTTGGCTGTCTGGATTTTGTGAAATCAGTTTTCTCTTTCACAAAGCGAGTTGCAGAAAGACAATGGTGATTCTGTGAAATGGAAGTTGAGAGATGCGGAGGGAAGATCCGGGAGTTCTACTGCTCATTTAATAGATGTTCTAGGAGGAGGGAGCAGACAGAGCAAAAAACGCACAGATCAGATGAGAGAACGCAATTTACCAGAGCTGCCGAAAGACACTAGACTTTGGCTTCAAAGGAAGGATCTTGTGAATAATTGGCCATTAAAAGAAAAGAAGTAGGTGAGCTCCACATTGATTTAGCTCTACTCCTGAGGACCCGTTCCCATTTATATTGCACACAGGGTAAGAAGGTTTAGCAGGATGTGGTAATCTTTCTGTGCTAGGAAGACAGAGGTTGGGGTTTGAAGCCATCATAGTAACTAGAATTTAGGCGAATAATCCCTAAATTTTGGAAAGCAACTTTTGATTTTGGAAGAGCCCCCAGATCTGCCTTAAAATTGTCTTCAAATCCATGGCTGACTCCCAAACTGGGCATGCACAGAGTGAAATGCTAAGGAGCTCAGTGGAGAACAGCAGCTGGAAGGCTAAAAAGAGGTGAACAGAGATTTCAGCAGCTGCCCTGCCGTTGAGAGACAAAGTTTGAAGTTTTTGTCCTGCCAAAGTATCAATAGAAGGACTTAGTGTGACACTTAATTGAATGTGTCAACTTGGCTGGGCCACAGTGCCCAGTTATTTGGTCAAACATTATTTTGGATGTGTCTGTGAGGGTGTTTGTGAATGAGATTTATGTTTAAGTTGGTGGACTTTGAGTCAAGTAGATTGACCTCCATAATGTGGGTGGGGCTCATCTAATTATTCAAAGGCATGGACAAAGCAAAGCCTGAGCAGGAGGGACTTCTGCAGCATGTGGCCTTTAGCCTGGAACTGCAACCTCAACTCTTCCTGGGTCTCTAGCCTTCTGGCCCATACAGCTCATTGTACTTGCCAGCTTCATAATTGTATGAGCAAATTCCTTAAAATATACCTTCACACACACACACACACACACACTCATGCGCACACACACACACACACACATCTTGTTGGTTCTGTTTCTCTTGAGAAGACTAATATACTTGGTAAGAGCAGCTGGCTTCCCATGAAAACCAAGACTAGCAATTGTGCCCTAGGACTAGAGACAGA